AGGGAATTCCTGGTGAAGTATTACCCAGAGGATGTTCGTGGGAAGAAGGAGATCGAATATCTGGAACTGAAACAAGGGAATTTATCGGTAGTTGATTATACTGCCAAATTCGTGGAATTGGAGAACTATTATCATCATTACAACAAAGAGACTTCTGAATTCTCAAAGTGTGTGAAGTTTGAAAATGGACTACATTCAGAAATTAAGAAGGCAATTGGGTATCAGCAAATCCGTAAATTTCCGGATTTAGTGAGTAGCTGCAGGATTTATGAAGATGACAGTGAGACTCACTACAAGATTGTCAATGATAGGAGAGGCAAGAAACAACAACATCGTGGGAAGCCTTACAATGCTTTGAGTGACAAAGGAAAACATAAAGCTACTGATGGTAAGATACCAAGTGGGGGAGGTTCTCCTGCTGGTATTGTATGTTACAAGTGTGGAAAACCTGGTCATCGGAGTAGTGAATGCAATACTGAAGTGAAGAGGTGTTTCTGTTGTCACAAACCCGGGCATGAGATACCTGAATGTAAATACAAGAAAGTAATATGTTTCAACTACGGTGAAAAGGGACATATCAGTGCCCAGTGGCAGAAACCTAAGAAAGACCGATCCATTGGGAAAGTGTTTGCTTTAGCTGGGACTCATACATCTAGTGGAGACCGCTTGAATAGAGGTATATGTTTCATTAATGGTACTCCTTTAATTACTATTATTGATACTAGTGCTACACATTGCTTTATTGCTGCTGATTATGCTAAAAAGTTGAGTCTTGTATTATCTTCTATGAATGGGGAGATGGTCGTCGATACTTCGACTAAAGGATTAGTGACTACTTCTCTAGTATGCTTGAAGTTTCCTTTGTCCACCTATGACAGATATTTTGTTGTTGATCTATTTTTTTTTCCGTTAACTGGTCTAGACGTAATTTTGGCTATGAACTGGTTAAAATAAAATAATGTTCATATTAACTGTTATAACAAGTCGGTGCGATTTTCTACTCCTGAAGAGGAAGAGGGGGATGGTTTCTTGTCTGTTAAAGAATTGAAGGAGTTACTGCGGGGCGGAGCTCAATTGTTTTCCTTGATGGCATCTTTATTTATTGAGAATCAGGATGCAATTGATGAGTTGTAGGTTGTGTGGAACTTTCCCGAAGTCTTTCCCGATGATATTTCAGACGTGCCTCCCGAAAGAGAAGTGGAATTTTCGATTGATCTTGTACCTGGTACCAAACCTGTTTCTATGGCACCATACAGGATGTTGGCATCCGAATTATCAGAATTGAAGAAGCAATTAGAAGAATTACTTGAAAAGAAATTTGTGAGACCAAGTGTATCTCCTAGGGAAGCTCTAAAACAGTTACGGAGATTAGAAGCTTTTTGGATTTGGCTGGCTATTATATGAGATTTATTGAAGGGTTATCTAAATTGGCATTTCCATTGACTCAGAAAACTTGTAAAGGTAGAGCATTTGTGTGGGACATCCAATGTAAAGAGAGTTTTATTGAGTTAAAAAAGAGATTGACGATGGTTCCGATCTTGACATTACCTGATCCTGAGAAATCATTTGTGGTATATTGTGATGCTTCTAAATTGGGTTTAGGTGGTGTGCTCATGCAGAATGATAAATTGGTCGCTTATGTGTCGAGACAGTTGAGGATTCATGAAATAAACTACCCTACTCATGATCTAGAATTAGCTACAGTAATGTTTGTGTTGAATATTTGGAGACATTATCTATATGGTTCCAGGTTTGAAGTGTTTAGTGATCATAAAAACTTGTGGTATTTATTTGATCAGAAAGAACTAAATATGAGGCAAATGAGGTGGTTAGAATTGTTGAAGGACTATGACTTTGGCTTGAATTATCATCCAGGTAAAGCTAATGTAGTAGCTGGCGCTTTGAGTCAGAAGACTTTTCATATGTCTGCTATGATGGTTAGAGAACTGGAGTTGATTTAACTATTTAGAGACACGAGTTTGGTTTGTGAAGTGACACCGCAGAGTGTGATGTTGGGGATTTGAAGATTAACAGTGATTTTTTGCATGATATTAGAGAAGCTCAGAAACTGGATGTGAAATTGGTAGAGTTAATGGTTGCGAATGACAAATCTTAAGATAGTGACTTTAAAGTAGATGCCCAAGGTGTGTTGAGATTCCGAAATAGGATTTGTGTCCCTGATGATGCTGATATGAGGAGGAGGATTCTGGAAGAGGGCCATAAAAGTAATTTGAGTATTCATCCAGAAGATACCAAGATGTATCACAACTTAAAGAAGTTATTTTGGTGGTCCGAGTTGAAACGAGATGTGGCACAGTTTGTGTATGCATGTCTGACTTGTCATAAATCAAAAGTCAAACATCAGAAATTTGCGGGGTTGTTTTTAGATGTTCCGGAATGAAAGTGGGATAGTATATCAATGGACTTTGTGACAGGGTTGCCTAATAGTCCGAGGGGACACGATATAATTTGGGTGATTGTCGACATGTTAACAAAACCAGCTCATTGCATTCCGATTAGTATCAATTTTCCTATATTGAAGTTGGCAGAGATTTATCTCCACATGATCGTGAAGCTACACGGTGTTTCATACAGCATCGTGTCGAATAGAGATCCTAGATTTACTTATGCTTTTTGGAAGAGTTTGCAGGATGTATTTGGTTCAAAGCTGAAATTGATTTCTGCATATAATCCACAGAGAGATGGTCAGACGGAGAGGACTATTCAGTCTCTAGAAGATTTGTTGAGGGCTTGTGTTCTTGAGCAAGGAGGTACATGGGATAGTTGTTTTCCTTTGATTTAGTTCACCTATAACAATAGTTACCATGTTAGTATTGGTATGGCACCTTTTGAGACAATGTATGGTCGGAGGTGCAAAACACCTTTGTGTTGGTATAAATCGGGTGAGTATGTGGTGCTCGGACCCGAGATGGTGAGAGAGACTACGGAGAAGGTAAAGGTGATCCAATTGAGGATGAAAGCTTCATAGAGTAGGCAAAAGAGTTACCATGATAAGAGGAGGAAGGATATTTTAAGTGGGAGAGAGTTGTAACACCTCGATTTAATTAGAATTATTTTTAATTAAATAATAAGATGATGTGGAAAAATTGTATGAGTTGATGACTTTTATGATGTGGTGTGATGCCTTGTTGGGGACTAGATGCCTTAGAATTATAGAAGTTGAGGTTATGGGGGTGTTTGACTAAATGTATAGAAACATAGGGGTGTGTGAAATAATATAGATTATTATTATTATTATTATTATTATTATTATTATTATTATTATTATTATTATTATTATTATTATTATTAGAAGAAGAATAATTATTATTATTATCTTATAATAATAATTAAATATTTATTTATTGGGTTAGTTATATTATTTGAGATACATTAGAGTGAGAAGAGCATAGAAATTAGAAGAGGGAAAAGGCAATAGAAAGTTAGGACAAGGATTTCACCGTAGAAATCAAGAATCAACCAAAACTCTAACGTGAGGGGGATTGTAACTGTATAAAGGGTTGTCTAATGATGGGGTATAGTAGGATCTAGGTTGTGTGTTGTGATTTCTTCCTATTTGGTTGTTTTGGGGTTTTTCATGTTGATGAATTTTGGTGATTTGTCTGTGTTTTTGATGGAATTGAATAATGTGAATTGGTTAGATTGATAGACAATGGTTGGTGAATAATTAACATGCTTAAAAGATAAATTTTGATTAAAAAAAAATGAATTTTAGGTGTCAAAACGTGGGAGGATCGTAACTGAAAATTGCATAATTTTTCCCTGTTATCGCAGGGTAACCGGTAACCCCCATATATGATAACCGGTTACCAAAAATTGAAACGAGAATGGCTACTGTCTTGCAGTAACCAGTTACCATAAGGAACTCCTCAGCTAAACTTCAATCTTTCAAACATCAGTATGACTCCCATTATCTTTCAAACATCAGAATGACTCCTATTATCTTTCAAACATCAGCATAATCATAACACTCGAAGGTTTTGTGTGATTTATTTTGTTATAATATGAGCGAACATGTATGACTCCGTTGTTTAAATTGTTTTATGATTATACTGACGTTTGAAAGATAATAATTATAACTCCAATTGGAGAATTGAGATGACTATTTATTGATATTTTTCCGCTGTGAATAAATGCGTTGAAGTTTATGATTTGTGAACGTGCAACACTTTGTGTTGCGTATCCTAACTTTGAGCATACATGATTGACTATTTATTAATATTATTTAGAAAGGAAAATAAATATTCTATTAAATAAGTTTTTACTCAGAATATTGAGTTAATTAAATTCACATTCTATATAAAATGACCTCAACTAATATGCAAACATGAGTAAACCAAATTGATCGGAAAAAACGTGAGTAAACCAAAGAACTGTATAGAAGAAAAACAGAATAAAAGTAAAATTAATTGTTACAAAAGAGAACAAAAACAAACAAAAAAAACTATATTCCTAAACATGAAGTCCCAAAAATGTCACAAACTCCGAAATTCACTAAGAGGGTTTCCAAAATAAGAAAAATCCAATAATAAATGGTAAAATTAAAGTTTGTTAGCCAATCAGCTATTATGTTATCTTCACACCAAGTGTGGATAACCTACATGTGACAGCTTCTATCCAGCAGCTCTTGCATGCTACGACCAACCAACGACTGGGGTGGCCTCATTGATCTTGCCGTTGTTATTAAGCAGCTTTTGCTGCTTTTTTAATCAATCAAATACTTTTTTTCATAAACAATACAAATTAGGAAGGTGATCCTATGCCATACGAACTAAACAGTTCAGCAAGTGCGAATAACCTGCTCTAGTATTGATACCAGTATCGGCAGCATGGCATTCAATAGACAAACACCACTCCCAAAATAGACTAGCAGCGGCAAAATCCCTCCAAAAGCTCCGGGACTTTCCCTTAAACCAGTTAACTGGGTACGAGAAGGCTCCCTATATACAGCTAAATAGACTGGAGCGAAAAGATCAAGTCTAAGTAGGGATGAGAGCTAAAATCTGGGTCTTAATTCTTCCCATGCACATTTGAATTTCTCTGTAAATAGGAAGGTTTCGAGGATCGCACGGTTGCAAGCTGGTAACAGCAGAATCTAATATCCGAGCCACATCTGCTGGAGGGTATTGTCGTTCTGTACAACTCTGCAAGTTCAACAGAAAAAAAGTTTTCAAAGCAATGCTTATTCAATAATGCATGTACCAATATATGTTGTATTTTCAAGGAGTAAGAGGACAAAAACACAATGATAAACATCTTATTTTCATTATTATCATGGTGTGCCGGTACACCGTTCAAAAATAGATACACGCCCCCAAAGATGTGATGTACAAAACTATTTTAAATAGGGATCACATTAGTTTTACAATCAGATGGGGAAATTGTGAAATGGGCAGCTTTCACCGTGTCTTAATTACCTGTATCATGGTTAATGTAGCAACACATGAAGTGATGAGCTCTGACGGTATTTCAAAATCAACTTCATCAGAATCTTTATGCAATTTTGGACCAGATGCATCATTAAGTAAAGGCTCGGATGCTTTGCAAGTCGATTGATTATGCTGATAAAAACTGCCATTCACTTGATCTTGGGACCTTATCACAGGCAACCTGTACTTAGAGGACAATTGCTGATAATCAATAGAATCCAATGCCTGTCCAATCCTCGTAATAGCATCTTTACCTTCCTTTGTAGCTTGAGACCATGCCTGAAGTATAGCATCAAAAAGTGTCAAAAGTTCTTTAGACTGACAGCTTAAATCCATGATTGAATGATGTCTACTGTGATCATTCTAAGACTTGAGGCTAAAGAAACAAACACCGTGGATTATAGTTTAATAAGTAAATACCGCCTCATGAAGAATTAGAATAATTTGCTAGGATAAAGGAACAGATAAATGCTCGCAGGTCACCAAAATGGGAAGGAAACAAGATGTGAAAATATCATGTATGCATAGTTTTCACAATGACTGCAAAAGCAGAGGGGGGCATAAGATACTCAGGCCATCCCTACCTGAAATGCAGCATCCAGCATTGCATGTGCCCGTAGCCTGGATCTTTTAACAATTTCAATGACAGTTGACCTAGACTCTTGTGTCATAGAATTATCCAACACACTAGGAAGATCATCATTAACTTCAAAATCTGCTTTGGGCTTCATCCATGGTGGGAAAGAGTTGTCCATGTAGGTGTTGCGTTGCCTTAATTGAAGCATGGTATCAGAAACCTGAAAAATATAATCAATCAAATGCTGCTTCAAGGCAAACGCAGAATGCTCTAATCATAGAAATAATCAAAGGAAGCCACATGCCTGTCCACTGGCTTCCTTTAGCTCTACAAGTACCGTGGCATAGTGCTTCTTGAAACCTTCAGGATCTTTTAAACATTCTATGCCGTTTTGATTTTCCAATATGCCATTATTTGCATTTCGAAGTTCTATTAGCACTGTCTCCTGTAAGAGCATCTCAAAGAAGTAAGAAGACCATTTATAAACAAGAAAAATTCAATAAAGATGGATGAATCCAGTTGAGATTTATCAAATCACCTAGACGTAAACTGGAAGTATAACATTTTCCAAAAGAACTGTACAAAAAAATATTAATTTGGGAGCATAAATGCAACGAAAAATAAACCTTCTTATCTAGAGCACGCTTTAGTTCAGAAAGTGCATGTATATCAGCTTCTTTAGCTTCATGTTGCATCACTTGAGACGGTTGAGCACAAGCAGCTTGAGCACAGAGGTTATCAATATTGGTCTGGGAAGTGGCATGGTTAGCATCCACCTGTAAGATTTTACAGAAAAGGTGCAATTAAAATTATTTGTAGAACACATAATATTTCTATGTTACTGACATCAACGGTGCCATGGCAGTGAAAATTAGGACTAATAAACCATGTGAAAAGGATGGAAGATTCAACAGAAGCACTGCTAGACCTTTAAGACATTCCTTTAGGCTTTGTTTGAGAGTCATGAGAGAAAGGAAGGAGGGGACATGGTAGCGAGAATAGGAATAGAAATGAAGGGAAGTCTTTCATGGTGTTTCACCTTATTTAGAATAGTGTTTTTGGAGAGGAAGAGAAGATAGTATAAATGACTAATATTTTAGCTGATTTGAGAGTATTATGAAGATATGAGAAGGATTTGAAAATTTACTCAAAACCTTTTAACACTCTGCTAAGTCGTCTCTCAATATATTTTATGAGCTTCTCTATATTGGAGGATTTGAGAGTACAATGTTGATGTGTGTCAAGGTTTGTACATTAGGCAAAAGCAAAGGAACGAAACTTAAAGTTGGACATTAAAAATAGCAACTACAGAGTATAAATTATTAAAGTAAAAGCATAAGCACCAAAAACATAACTCTGCGGCATAATAGTAAATTTTTAATGTGTATTGATATTTGTTAGCCATCTAACCTTTCCTTGCTTTACTGAAGCACTTGAAGAGGAGTGTACCTTTACAGGTGAGGAATGCATTTCACATCCCCCAAAACTTGAATTTCCATTAATCTGTGGTTCTTTAGTTATAAAAGAGGCTTTTCTGGCACCAATCTGCCTCCTCAAAGCTTCTGGCATATTATCTAATGGATTCAAAGGCATGCAATCAATGTCCTGGTCCAAAAATCACACTCATCAAAAACATGAAATTTGGAAACCGTTGTCAGATTTTACAAATACCATGCTAATTTTTTTCAATTAAAAGAAAATGTATATAAAGCTTTAGAATGTTGGGTTTTAGTATATGTGGCATATAACGTGCATTTCTCAATGAAATTGCATTAAATGGGGCGGGGAAATTATGAGGAAAAGAAGCTTTGACATAGTGCTTAGAGTTTCTCATGAGTAACCAAGAGGCCGCGGGTTAAAGTGTTAGAATTAGCCTCTAGCAAATGCAGGGCAATGCCAGCTTCTATTAACCTAGAGTGGGTCAAACTTTTCTCTAGACACCATGCAGCATAGCAGCACCGCTTATTGTTTATTATTTTTACAATATTAAAGCATGTAAAGATTGCTTATATGTATACTAACGAAGATGATTTCGATCATAGATTTTAAACTCCCTCTTAAAGAATTGCTTAAAACTATTTAAAAGATTATATTTAATAAATAAATCATAATACCATGATGAATTCAACTCCTAACTCAGGACGGTCGAACTGAATTCTGCACTTGTCATGGTCAACAGTAAGCACACTACCATCATGAATCTCTCTTGTTTTGGGGTGAATGGCAATTACTCGTTGTCCAACATATAATGGTCTCGCTAAATCTGTCGGAAGTCCGTCTCTGACACCAGTCCGCAGCTCAGAATAATGCTTCCTCACTGATTCTCGATACTGTTCAAGTTTTTGTCTTTCTTCGTGTAAAAAATGTTCAGAAAACCTGCGTGGTTTACCAAGGGAACTGCAGAAACAAGTGCAACACTACAATGTCAAGTAGGTCCTTTACAATTACATACTTTACCATTCACAAGGTTTGGCAGAAAAGAACAGTAACCAAAATTGATTTCAAACCTTTTTATGACACTCCACTCAACACGAGTTAGCCTTGGGATATTCCCCAGCCCCACATGGTTTAAGTACTCCACAAATTCTCTTTTGGCAAACCATGGATAATCAAGTGCACTATAAAACCATTCAAAAGTAAACCATCTGCGAACCAAAGAAGATGACAAGCAACTGGAAAGCTTTTCCTGCAAGTTAAAAAGAAATTTTTAATATTTACAAAAAAACGGAACCTTAAAGCCATTCAATGCTTTAGAAGGCAGAGTCAATCTAAATTAGGAAAAAGCTTGAACCTTTTGGGTAGAGTAGTTATTATGTTTGTTTTTCAATATATTCTCAGAAGACTTCTCTTTAGGCATGGATGGTCTCTGAAAAATCATCTTGCGTCTACTTCTTTGTTTGGTTGGAGAACTAATTTCACTCAAAAGTGGAATTTCAGCGGTTGATATTGCTAAGACTTTCTGATCACCACGCAAGACAACCTCTGATGGTTTGACCATCTTCAATTGTTTTGGTGAGGCAATAACATGATCAGTTTGTTTTCCTTTAATTGCAGGTTTGTTCCCATCATCCACAGCCTGCAGAGAATGTGCAACAACTCTGATAAGTATGTTATAAGTTTATAACTACACTCCAGGCATCCTCTAAAATGAGAAGGCAAAGACATTTGGACATATATTAAATAATGTAGTTGAATAAGGTGATTTGAATTGCTCGAGAGACTAAACCCTAAGCCTTGTGTATTTATAACCATGAATTACTGTCAGAATCATAATTGTGTTTAAACTCTTGAGTTTAACATAACCAGCACATGATCAGAGACTAGAGGCGGAGTACCTAATGTGGTTCAACTAACGACAAAGGACAAACTAAATAGCTATATCAAAAGGTAAAAAAAAAAAAAAAAAAAAAGCATTCACAACAGTCAGTGATAATCACTTAAGAGTTAAAAACTCAATCCCAAAACACTCCCAATGACTAAGATTTACAGTATTTTATGAACAGACTACTGGTTTCACAAAATGTAGGTAATGGCTGTAAAGCTGCCTATATAAGTGTGGACCCTCTGCATCCACCACATAATCTCCTTGAAAATTCACAGTGAAAAAGCTTCCCACCAGAAAGCTACCGTTGGAAAAAATGACATCTAAATCAAGCTTCCACTGAGAAGTTCAAACATCTTAATAATTATGAAAGACTAAAAAGAAACTCCTGATTCTAATCAAATAGGGAAACTAATCATGACAATAATAACTCAGAAATAGCAGAGTAGTCAATCCCGGATAGCAGCTCAGAGCGGCCATCCTCAAAAGTGGGATAGCGACATAGCATATAACAGGATGATTGTTATTTGATTTTTTTTGGACAAATTACATATAAATAATTATAAACATATATTGAATGTAAAATTAAACGAATAACTCAAAAAACCAATAAAATATTCATAAATCAAATAATGAAATACTGGGGCAGAGAGAGGAGACGATGACTGAGAGGGAGGAGTCAACGGCTGAGAGGAAAGAACGACAGAAGAGGGAAGAAAGAAGTGCAGAGAGAGATGAGGGAGGAGTCTCAACTCAAATTTGATTGAAAAACCCAAAATTACCCTTTAAATTTAAGGGGTAATTATGGTTTTTCAGAGGGAAAAAGGATAGTGGGCCTGAAACCGCTTCGGACCGGGAACCACTCTGCTCCACTATCCTGCTATTTACCCTATAGCGGCCGCTATAGTGTTCTGCACCGCTAGCTAAGGTTCACGGCCTGCCTCCGCTCTGCTCCGCTATCCCACTAAAGCGCCGCTATTGGCTACTCCGAGAAATAGGAAAACTAATCCTAAGAGATAATTAACAATATTTGAATATCAAGATAGATATTATAAATTATATTCAAATCATATTCTAATACTTGTTTGTATACTGAATCATGTTGTTCCTGCTATAGTTTATAAAACTTTGACCAATATTCTTTTTGAGTAAAAGAGATATTGTTTAAAAGAAATAATAAGCAAACCAAACACGGCGTAAATTGCAATGGATAAAACAATTAAAAAATAATCTATACTTACCTTTGAAACAGTGGACTTGTGCTTTCTTTTCCATGTTTTATCAGCAAACGGAAGCTGCTCTTTTGATTCAGAAAGAGCACTGGTATCATTTGCTATATCTTTTCCGAGTTTAGCTTTTTTGGACGTTGAAGTGTCGGCTACAGAGACCCCGCGGAGTCTAACTTTATTTCTCTTATGACTTGTTGAAGTTGCTTCAGGTAAAGCAGACTTGTCATCTTTAACAACAGTCATTCTTTCTCCCTTCAACTGGACAGGTGAATCTAGATGGGCAAGGAAGAGTTGAATAATCAATTAAAAGAATTTTGACTGTTATTGCTCTCTCTCTCTCTCTCTCTGCTCTCATCTACAGTTACACTATATTGAGAAGTTTCAAATTGCATGAAATATGACCTAAGAATATGTTTATATAAGTAGTGGACAATCCTTGTCTTACAAGCCGGTTTTGTAAGACTGTGTTAGACTTGACCCAAATTCTAAGATAATATGAGTCTATTCAAGATTCTTTGGGCCACCCCCTAGGGTCATGCATGCTCCAGATGACCAGTCTTGGAGGTGAGGGGGTGTGTTTAAAAGTCTCACACTTGATGACATATGGCCTGAAAAATGTGTTTACAAGTGGTGGGCAGTCCTCATCCAACGAGTCAGTTTTGTAGGGTTGTGTTAGGCACAACCCAAATTCTGAGACACTAAAAAAAGTACCAACGACTTTATTCTTACCAGATTCTACTTTAGATGTCGGCATCATTAGAGATAGATCGGCCAAAGTTTGCAAAGCATTCAAGGCGTGGATTTCATCTGGTTGATTAAAGTAATAAAATATAATCAATTAAGAGAGATGTGAAAGTAAATGAAAAATTATTTCTTGTGTAACCTTGCCCCAGGGTTAAGGCGGGAAAAGGAAACACGGGTTGCAAAGACATCTCTAGCGACAATATTACCTCCAAAAAAGAGGTTTTGGCTTTTTTTCCGCTGACTTGTTGGAGAGAATTGCTCAAGCCTTTCATTAGTACCCTCCATATTATTTTCCTTCAAAGACCTAACACTAAGTCCTTCTTCAGTACCACTGCATGCTTCTCCTCCATCATCAAGCTGATCATTTCCAATATTTTCCAATTTCTCTTTTTTTCTATAAAATTTTCCTTTCTTTAGAAGAACTCCAGCGGTGCTCGTTCCTTCCATATCTATCAAGGAACTAGTATCTCTAGCATATTCTCCATTTTCAGCTCCTCTGCTTTCTAGACTACCTTCCACAAACTCTTCACCCACAGGAACATTGTGTAACTTGGCACGAGTCTTTTCTGATATTTGCTGCTAGTTGAAAAATGACAACAAAAAATATATATATCACCTTCAAAACTACAATTAGTATATCAAGCATAAGCAAGACATTCACAATGATCTCCATAAGATCATATGTGAAAGTTGACATGTATTCACACATTCAGAATGTATACTCATTTTGAAAAAAATAATTTAGCCAACAAATACTATGTAATGACAGGACAGTTGAGTACCTTTCTTTCCCGGCTCTGAACAAGAGAGGACTTCTGCCCTGCTCTCCTATGTGGTGTTTGAGAAAGGGGAGAGTCTCCTCTTTGTGAAGCCCTGGTTAATGTCAAAGCTACATGTGCAGCTTCGTCATCATTAGCATCAGCAGTGGACTTCAAACTTCTTTTATTAGGTGAAACATAATTTTCCCTATCATCTTTGTAAGAGTGGTAGACTGGAACTCGGGGTGTCCTCTTCCCAACTGCACGAGGCTGGATACCTGATTAATCGAATAGGCCATCAATCTTGCAATCCAGTGAAGAATATCTTACACAGTATGAAGAATAATTTAAGAGGGATCTAATTTTCCACTGCTAATACTAAATTTCAAATTTTAAACTGCAAGGAATTTTCGGATAGGAAAGCAAATCCAGACAAATGATCACTGTGAAATACCCAACTAAATTGAGAAAGTAATGCATAATCTGAAATTTTGGTGGAAAAGGCGTCATTAGGGTTAGAGAGAAATTGAGAATCTTGAAATTTTGTAAGTAAATTGATACTGAACCTAATCTGAAATATTTGTAGTACAAACAGCTTTATTATAAACACAGGCTGAAGATTATCATAGCTCTGTTACTCTGTTTATACTATCAAGTTCTCTTACAAGTTATAACTTCAATTGCCACTAACTCTGCAACTGACTGTCATTAGAATATTCTTGACCATAACTAACTGTACTGCTTTACTGACAGCTGCCAACTAAGCATTGTTTTTCGTTTTACATGATTGCAGTGAACTGATCACTAAACTGATGAGGTTAAAACAAAGAAAGTTGCGAGACTATGACGTGTATTTTACCATCAATGCGTCTTTTCTTCAGTAGAGAGAGGCAACCATCACTGGAAGTTACAGACTGAGACTGGACAGGATCCTTTGAAACACTAAACTGAATTTTTTCACGCTTTCGTTTCACAGGTTTCCGAGATCCTGGTGCATCATTGCTCTCCTTTTCACTATCACTCTCTTCCTGTTGATTTCAAGTCCAGAACATTATAACTCATACAAAACCAACTCGTCTCAACAAACATAAAGAGAGATAGAAATCAGAATTTAAGCATGAACTACATCATTTATAATGCCAGGATAGTTGCTGAAGAAATAGAGATGGAAATATTAACCTGGGAGAAGAGAGGTCAGAACATCATGGTATAAAAACAATATATTTTTATTTTTATTTTCAACAGAATATGTTCACCCTTCTTTCTGAAAATATTTTCTTTTTTTAAAAGTCATTCCACACTAAAAGCTGTTCAGAATTTTGTTATAAAAAAAAGAAAGACCTACACCACAATAAAAATGTTGACCTTACCAGGACATTATAATGATCTGTCATCATTGCAATGAGGCCCACAACAGAAGCCGTCCCCTCTGGTAGAGATAGGTATGCCTGTTAATCACAACTTGTGGTTTCAATAGCACTTAAAACAAGAGATCTAACAACATCAATAATTCAGTTCACGGTGGCTTGATACCTGATAATGTCTTGTTTTAAGCAATAATAGTAAAAGAATGAAAGAGGAGCAAGTAATCAGTTTGTAATAGTGTCATTTAAGTATTTTTAGCCAAATCACTTGCGAAAACAAGACCTCATTTCTTAAACTAAAGGCATAATGCATATAATAAGGCCCATGAGACAAGACTACAGAATAAGTTACTGAGGCATTGATTTACCCGATTCATATTGTAAAGAGCTTCCACCATTTCAATGGATCTATTACGTACAGCAGCAGCCACCTGGAAATTCAAGTAATCAATATGAAAGGAGAATAATAACAAGAACTGTAATTTATAATGGTTACGATAAAAATATGTAGATGAAAGAAAAAACCAAAATGTCCTCTAGCTTTGAAATGAACAAGCAGGATAGAGAGAAAACAACACAAACAAAAAACAAAAATTAGAGAAAAAAAAGAAAAACACACCTTCTTCCAATCTTTCCCATATTTTCTGTATGCTTCATAGAATCGCTCAAGTTCCTGCTTACTCCACTGAGATCCCAATTTATTAGACAGTTTCTTCTTCTGTGCATCAAACAGAATCCAAAGTTTGAGGTTTAAACAGGAGATGAAATCTTGTTCGTGTTAAGTGCATACTATAATGGACAGCAAATATTTCATATGATGCATGGATACACTCACACCCAATTGGTGGTTTGTTTAAATGGTATTTATACCCAGTGAATATATGAGTACAATGCACTTGCTTATGTTTTTCTTGTATATCCTTTGTTTGGCGAATGTCCGACCACCCATGGAATCATGTTATTAAAAAAAAAAAAAAAAAGACTCAAATTCAAGTTCATTCTCACTAATTTCCATTTTCAAAGCACTTGCTTATGTTTTCTTCAAAGTTATCATGCAAAATAGCAAACTTCAATAAATAAATGCATTATACGTATTACATATTGGCATACGGATATCTTAACTTTCTAAAAAGAAATTTTGAATTGGTATATTGTGAAGTAACAGAAGGCAAATTCATGTACAGGGGAACATAGTTTACAAGATAATAAAACTTATCTAGTGAGCTACACTAATACTGATAAAAATATTATTCTTTAAGCAAGACCCAACAACTGCCACAACTCTTATAGAAATTGTTATGGCGATATGATTCCATGCAGGATGCAGTGCTGTATTTTATTTATTGTACCCTATTGCTTGATGTTTAGAAATAGAAACTATGACAAATTAATACATACCCTGTGCTTGTTTTTACTTGAGCCAACTCCATCTTTCTCAGGAGAAAGATCATTTGTATTTGTAAACCGCTTATTCACACTTCTAGACTTCCTTGGAGGTGCCATTGATCAATTATACATCTGAAACAAAAGAAATAGTCACAACCAGCAACATAAGCTCTGTAAAAACTCAGCTAATGAACTAATCGATACGCTTTATAGAAAATAAAACACAGATTTCAAAAGCATCAACGCAATTCACAAATGGCAGCAAAAACGTAAATAAAAGTTGGAACTTAGAAGTTATAACTCCTCCCATTCTTAAAAACCAGTATAAGACTTTTGTTCTTCATCACAAACTAAAATCATAAACAACAGCTTGATTCGCGCAAGATTTAAAAAAAAAAAAACGAAGCTGCACATCTACAAAGCATAGCTTCTCACAATCGCATCAGATTCAACAATTCTCTTCGTGTTTCACAACAATCAAATCAACCAGAAAAAAAAAACGTAAAACGTTAACCCTCACTCACCGAAAAAAAAAACGCTGAATCAAGTGCACAGTGATAAAGAAATTGCAGCAAGATTCAACTAACAACCAGCACCGAAGAGCTAAATTTGAAAAGAACAACAACATTATCAAGAAAATCGCAAAGAGAAAACGATAATAAAACAAATTCAATCGAATTAATTAACAAAAAACGTAACGGAAATTCGCAATCATTTCGAAATCGAAACCTAACTTACAGATCCAAGACTGAAACTGGTTCTCTGATTCTTGCGGACGGTAGGGTAAATCCGATTCCGCAGAAGCACGAGATGAGAGGGAAGAGAAGAAGAGAGGCACAGGGTTTAGAGAAAGAAAGAGAAAGAGAGAGAAAGATAGGAATAGGGGATGAAATATAAAAAATATATATAAAAAAGAAAGTGTTGCCGCGAAACTTGAATAAAAATGTGTTCTCTAACCAATGAGATTTTTTTGGTTATTTACGTCATTGCGCGTCCATGAAGAGGGGGAATACGGATTTGTATTGTCTTATCATTCACCGAACATCTTGCATCCCGAGTTAATATCAACCGCTGAGATTCTACTACTCATTGAGTGTACCTGTACCCTCAGTTACACGAGATTTTATTTGAAATTTTAAAATTGAGTTTTGCAAATACTACCATAAATTATCTGTATTGCCGATATCACCTAGCTCAACAGGTTTCGCAAGTTTTTTAACTTGTGAATTTCAACTTTATTTAATAATTATTTCAAAGAGATCTAGACCAAGAAATAAAATATTCTCTACATTCTATATATTTATATATCCTAGACAATAATTTTTATGTATGGTAAAACTTTTTTATACGAGCATTTAAAAAAATCATAATAAATGTATATTTTATTTTAAAAAACTTTAAAAAAATAGTATTACATATTTGATTGTATGTAAATGTGAATATATTTTAAATGGTTGGTGATTACAAAAAAAATGATATTTTTTATAATTCAAAAAGTAATTTTTATAAATTTTATATTGATTTTGTCTCAAAAATATTTTTCATCAACAGTTTTGATTCTTATATTTTGTTTACTAATTATATTACTATTAATTTAAGACTATATTTTTAAATTTTTTATTTGATTAGTTTAATCTTCCCTTCAATACAGTTGGAAATCCACTAAAATCTATGACGGATTTATATCAATTTTGATGAACAAAATTGTTATCACCACACAATAATAATGAATTATATAAAAGAAAAAATGAGAAGACAATTATTTTTCTGCAAAATTTCTCTCTGCCCACGAACTATAGAAAACTTTATTATTCATTTGCTGCTGCAAAATCTGTGAATACAATAAATTTAGTGAATTACAAAAATGGAGATTACTCCTCTATTTATAGATTTAGGTTAGTTTGTTCTTTAAGTCAAATTTCAAAACTATAAAAGTCCAAAATATTTATTTAGAACTAAATCAAATCTATTATATTTTATATCTAAATCAAATCTATATAATTTAAATCTAAATCAAATATGTGTGTAATAAATTGTTTCCACACTTCTAAATCAAATCAAATCTTTTCGACACTCTCTTGTCTCTGTCGAGCAAATTGCTTCGACACAAGAAATTACTTTCAAAAAATATTATGTTCAATTTCAAATTTTCTAAATCATGTTACTTAATATCTAAATTATTTTTAATTAATAATGCTTACATTAAAAGATTATTAAGAAATATAGTCAATTTAGTTTATAATTTTTATTAAGTTAAACATATAATCAATTTTTATTTTAAACTAAAAAAATAGTCAAGATAAGTCTTTGATATTGTGAATTCGTCTATATTTTATAGTGAATGTTAGTTTTATTTGGGAGTTTAGAAAAAAATGAAAGTATCGTCCGTCTCGTGGATTCTCTTATTTCAAACATATTATTTAATTTTTATATATTATATAATATATAATTGGAAAAATTAAATGCATATATTATTTAACATGCTTATCACTGGGCAAGTTACTTAACCACTAAGGCATTTTATATGTTGTGATTAAATTTGCAAATTAAATGTATATTATTTCTGTTTTTTTTTTCTAGATTTCTTCAAAGTTCTTGGATTTCTTCAATTAGTACCAAGCTTTCCTCCGTAGTATACTCCTCTAATATCACTTCCAAGTATCTCGAACTCACCATTGTCCTTCTCATTAATTACAGATGACAAATATCTGTGTACAGTGATTTACTATAGTATATGGAATCATTGCCTAGCTGCGTTGTTGAAGGAGAGTTTATGTGTTTAACTTGTTGGACTGTGTTGAATAAACATTAAATGTCATTAGTAATAAGTTTCATATTAAATATGGTAGTAGGAAGGACAAAAGTTTAGTAAGTTATGATAGTTTATTAGTAGCAGTTATGTTTTTTTTTGAATTGTAAAAGTCATTAGGTTTATATAAAGACCAAAAGTGTATTTTATTTTAACAAGAGCAATATACAAAAGTTTTGTCTGAAGTCTGATTCTTAGTTATAACAATTTGGCATCAGAACTCATGGCAAACATGATGAATCAAATGTCGTTGCCACGGCTAACGAAGTCAAATTATGAAAACTGGAGTATCCAAATGAAAGCTCTTCTTGGATCTCTAGACGCGTGGGATGTGACCCATGATGGGTTTGAAGAACCAACAGAAGTTGGGGGATATACGACAGCTCAAACAAAGGCGTTGAAAGAGACGCGATCGAAGGACAAAACGGCATTATACATGTTGTTTAGGGTTGTAGATGAATCAGGCTTCTAAAAAATTGTTGGTTCGACTACGTCGAAACAAGCGTGGGACACGTTAGAAAAAGTGTTCAAAGGAGCAGATCGAGTGAAGCAAGTTTGACTCCAAACTCTTCGTGGCGAATTGGAGAGGATACAGATGAAGGATACATAAATTGTATCTGACTACATCACACGTGTGCAAAGGGTGGTGAATCAACTCACCAGAAATGGAGAGACAGTACCTGATGCACAAGTTGTTGAAAAGATCTTGAGATCTTTAACAGACAAGTTTGAAAATATTGTATGTGCAATAGAAGAGTCGAAGGACCTTTCGACGCTCTCAGTCGAAGAGCTCGCTGGTTCTCTCGAAGCACATGAACAACGAAAGATGAAAAAGAAAGAAGAAGCAGTCGAAGAAGCAAACCAAACCAAGGAATCGAACAAAGATGAAAAGGTACTCTTTTCTCACAACTTTCGAGTAAGAGGACGTGAATGTGGAGGTCGTGACAGTGGTCGAAGTGGTAGAGGTAGCAACTTCGAAAGAGGACAATCGAGCTAACAATGTGGCAGAGGACGTGGTCAAAGAGGTGGTCGTTCGAATCATTCCAACTTTGAATGCTACAAGTGTGGGAAGTATGGTCATTATGCGAAGGATTGTAACTCCTACAAATGTTACAACTGTGACAAAGTGGGACATCTTGAAAAAGACTGTCGAATCGAAAAGAAGATTGAAGAAACAACCAACCTAGCCTTGGAAGCTGAATCGAATGAAGGCTTTCTCCTTATGGCTCAAAATGAAATCAACACCAATGACATTGTTTGGTATCTTGACTCATGAGCAAGTAATCACATGTGTGGTTACAAACACCTGTTTAAAGATATGAAGAAAATTGAAGATGGTAATGTGTCATTTGGAGATGTATCGAAAGTGAAGGTCGAAGGAAAGGGCACAATCAGTTACTTGCAGAATGATGGCTTGATTGGATCAATCGAAGACGTTTACTATGTACCAGATCTCAAGACTAACATATTAAGTTTGGGACAACTTACAAAAAAAGGTGCTTCGATAGTTATGAAATATCGAACATTGCATTTGAAGGACAAAGCAGGACATCTGATTGCCAGTGTCGAAATAGAAAGAAATCAAATGTACAAACTGAACCTGAGGAACATTCGAGAGAAATGTCTGCAAATCGAAGTGCAAGACAAAGCGTCACTATGGCATATGCGCTTTGGTCATCTACATCATGCTGGTTTGAGAAGGTTGGCGAAAAGGAACATGGTGCATGGATTACCAGACATGCATTTTGAAGGAAAATTCTGTGAAGAATGTGTGCTCAGCAAACAAACAAGAACCTCATTTCAAAGGAAGGCAGAGTATCAAGCTAAACATATTCTCGAATTGATACATAATGACATATGTGGGCCAATCACTCCAGAATCCTTCAGTGGAAAAAGGTACTTCATTTCTTTTATTGATGACTTCTCAAGAAAAATCTGGGTTTACTTCTTGACAGAAAAATCTGAAGCATTAGAAGTGTTCAAAAATTTCAAAGTAATGGTGGAGAAGGCAACAGACAAACACATCAAAGCAATTCGATCTGACAGAGGAGGTGGGTATACTTCAATGGCCTTTGTGAAGTACTGTGAAGAACATGGCATAAGGAGATTCCTAACTGCACCATATTCACCTCAACAAAATGGTGTGGCTGAAAGGAAGAATCGAACTATTCTTGACATGACTCGATCAATGCTCAAAAGCAAGAACATGTCGAAAGAATTCTGGGCAGAAGCAGTACAATGTGTTGTTTATATTCAGAATAGATGTCCACATTCGAAGTTAGAAGACAAAACACCACAAGAAGCATGG